ATTCTTATTCATTCTGACTTTTATTAGTGTGCATAAAACTGCATCTCATATATTTTTTAAAAATAATTATGATGTAATGAATCTAAGTCCCTAAGATAAATAATTTGATTTTTGTTTTTGAATAAGCTTCTCAGTAACTAAGCATATTACTTTTTAAGAGTGATTTACTTATGGACTATCCATGTTAAACAGTGTCCAGCTCATTACAATGTTAGGGCTTGTCTCCTCTTCAATGCTATAACTATATGTATGGCTATATGTATCTATACGACATGTAACGTATATGTATGTATTGCAAAACGTGGTTAGGATTAAACAAATGCCTCATTTGACTTAATTTACTCAAATTATTTCTAAATCTTAAAAAAAAGAAAAAGAAAAAAGCATATTCCCAGTCGTTGTATCATTTAATTTAAATCAGTCTCTGCCTGGGTCTGCTAGCACAATAACTGCTGCTTTCTTCTGCTCACTTTCTTTCCTGCTCTACAAAGTATTTGAAGCCCTACGTTTTGGGTCCACGGTTGTAGTTCCCATTTTTTTCTGGTTTCAGGACCTTGTACTTCCTTCCCTGCTTGTCCTTTTCTCCTTTTGCTGCACTTCAAATTACCTGGGTTTTGAACAATCTTCCTTAATCCTGTTTTCAAGAATTGTCTCCTGGTTCTGCTGTTTATCTGACATTTGACCTCTTACTTCTCTTGACCTCATTTATTTGGGGGAGAAAAAGACTCTAAAAAATCATGGCAATTGAAGGGCAGGGGAGGGGATGTGCCCCTCTTGACATTTCCTTAGTTCTGTCTTGAGTTTATAGTTGAAATAAAAGCATGCAATCTTCATAGAGGTTAAGCATCCACCAAGAAAAAATGACATCCCAGTTATTATGAAATGCTAACTTACAAGTATGCTCCATTACAATAAATTATCTAGCCTTTAAAGAGCTTTTAGAATTTTAACAATGAGAATCATTTCTAGAGAAGAAGAAAAAATGTGTTTCTTTCCACAGCATGATTACAAATCATTTCTCCTGCTGTCTAATGCTTTTCAAAATCATAGTGCAGTGAAGAATCCCTCCACTTCCTTTGTTGAAAAGGGAAGGAACTGAAGTCATTAATGGTTCTGATGAAATTAGGAAATTCATACTCACCTAGCCCCAAAGAGAATATGTTAAAAGTTTTAACAGCTTAAAAGTCTCTTTCAACTTCTCTCTGTGTCATTAAGAAAACACATGAGAAATTCCCATATGGAAGGTATGGATTTTTCTTTCCCCTAATCACATAAAGTAGCTTCTTATCTCTCCTGTTCTTTGTGCAGGAGTGAACTGGACTAAACCACAGGCTACTGTCTGTTTCCATGCATTCTGGTCCATCTCTACCTCCGGTTAATTGCCTCTGCTCAAATACGAAGGTAATCAGGTCTTACGCTTCTAGAAATGTGTTGACCCCTTCTCCTAAGTACATATACAGAGCCTTTTGTCAAAGTTTCTAGGCACTTTGTCAAAGATGCACTGTCTGTAATGAAGATGGGGGAGGTCACAAACACTAAGAGCAAAGCCCACAGCTGCTTGGAGAAACATTGCCAAGATAAGAACAGCTTTGAAGGATAAACTGGGAGATTATGTTAGCAAGCATGGCTAAGGCTTCTGGAGGGCTGGGGGAGGCTGCATTTCCATATAACATTGTATTACAAGTCTTAGAGTTTTATTCTTTTTTAAATGAAGTGTTTATGTTCCTGGGAACACCAAACAAAACTTTTCTTTCAAAAGAATAATATTTCATTAAAAGTGCTTAGGCTTTGGGGTAAACATATTTTGGGACCTAAGAAAATCAAGGACAATGATTTCCACAAATATCTTTTCTAATACCAGTGAATGCTTAGATGGGTTCTGTATAGTCACACCATTGCCTTTTCTGAAAATATTTTCTGAAGGAATGGATAACCTTTAGGCCAGGAATCCACTCTGTGGCATATGATTTCAAATAAGATCTATTTTTTCTTCTCTGTCATAGTTATATTCCATTTGTTTGAAATAGTTTCTTTCCCTGATTTATGTTGTCCTAGGTTAAAGAATTTCTTGAATTTTTAGTTTTCTTTATGCTGTATTTTCCCCTTTGTCTTTGAGCACTGCTTATAAAAATTAAATTTCAGAAGCTGATATAGACACTGGTAATATGTGGAATTCATACATATTTATTCATACATATTTATCTATACATATTCATAATGTTTATTATCCCATAATATATGGAATTTAAATGAATATCTAAATTCTAAACTTCAGATTTCGTGGCAGTCTGTATGATTTTCTTTTTGCAATCTTGCCTTCTCAATTATATCTTTTATTGAACTAACGTTAAAATCAGTTTCCTTCCTGAAGAATACATACTAGGAAATACATACAAATAAGGCAGCATAAAGCAATACCTACACATAGTAGGAGGTAACTCTATACTGGCTGAATGAGTGAATGAAGGGATGTTGCTGAATGAAGCCCTTTAGAAACTCAGAGTTAAAAAATGTTTTATCAGAAGACAAAATCAGAGAGGGAGACAAACCATAAGAGACTCTTAACTATAGGAAACAAACTGGGGGTTGCTGGAGGGGAGGTGAGGTGGGAGGATGAGGTAACTGGGTGATGGGTATTAAGGAGGGCACATGATGTAATGAGCACTGAGCATTATATAAGACTGATGAATCACTGAACTCTACCTTTGAAACTAATAATACACTATATGCTAATTAATTGAATTTAAATTTTAAAAAGTTTTATCAAATATCAATGAGAACATAATATATTTAATGGAGGTAATGGAGAATATATCATAATTTTTAATTTTTCATTATCACAGCATATTACTATTTATATTTCCAATGTAATAATTAAATATGTGTGTGTATATATATATCGTTTTAACTTGTTTTTAAAGCATAATGTTATGAATGTTTAGTTAATATTGAATTTACCTAGATAATATATAAGAAAATAGGACTACAGTTTTTAACAGTGCATATGGTATTATTAGTCTCTACCAAAAGAATTTTTAAGCTTTGGTTCTAAGTCAGTTTTATTCAGCTCAAATGCTCTTTGATATCAGTCTGAACGGCTGTTGAATCAGGACACAAAAAGGATGAGAGGCTACTTTTGATCCCAGGTTTAATACTTAATTTTTTTTCTTACCAAAATACATTTGTCAGAAATTTTTCTTTCTAGCTGAATATTTTTAACAGTTACTCCTGGCTATTTTGAGAGTGATACCATTTTAACATCTTTATGCCATGTAGTATAGGATATTTTTATAGCATCTGGAAAGACTTGATTGATACACTCAGGATATGGGAAAGGCTAATTTGAGAATTGTCACCAGGAAAAAGAGGTTACAGATGTTGGGCAGGAAAATATCATAAATGTCCACTTCTACTATTATTCAGCTGATGCTTTATGAATTACATAACCATTTCTCTACACTTGAATCTTTGTTTTTGAGCCTTTAGCTCCAATAGGCATTTTTCTCTAAAATTAATTTTTAAGAATGAAATTATTAGGCCCAAATATATTAGTATTTTTTAATAACCCATTTTGTATGTTTTTCAAAATGGTTGTACTGATGTACAGTGCTAACTGGGCTTACACTATGTGATAGTAAAGGAACAGTTTCTCGGGGGGAGTTATAGGAAAAAAATTAATGTTGTCTAAGGTTATACACCAACTGGAATTCAGAGTACAGTGCACAGATACATAATACTATGTTCCTCAAAAAACTTTAAAACAATTTCAGAAATCTGCCTTGTGCTTGGTTGGCAAATGTGTCATTTATTTATTTATACCCTACCTCATTCCGGAACATATTTCAAGATGACTAAATACCTCTATAACAATGACCCAGAACAAACTTGACAAAGCTGAGTGGAATATACATCAAATTTCTTTCCAAGAGAAAGGGAGTGGGGGAAGCAAAAGCCACTTAAAGGTCCTTTAATTCCAATTTCTATATGCAGCTTGATCCTCCTTAGAGCTGAGATAAAGGCAGAATTAGTCTCCTGGTGTTAACTTTTATATCCCTTTTGGAAAGCAGTTTGGCAACTACACCCTGAGCCATAAAAATGTGCCCACTCTAATTCACAAATTTAACTTCTAAGAACCCTAAAAAATAAATTATAAATATGAGAACAATAAATTTTATGCATTAAATGTTCACTACAGTATTGTTTATAATAGTCAAAACCTGGAAACAATCTAAATTTTCATCCAAAAAGGAAAAGAATTATATCTATTTGTTAGGATAGCAATTTGGGTATTAAAATATGGTTATTAATCATTGCAAAAATTAATATAACGTTAAGTGAAAAGGCAGAATATAAAATACCATGTATGACTATAATTATGTTAAAAGAGAAAAGGATCATGGCCTAAAGAAAAAAAATGAAGTAAAATAGACTAAAATGTTCAGTTACTGTACTAACATGAAAGGAACTATGGATATATTTTTATATTTGTTTTTATTTACTAAAATTTTATTATGGACTTATATTACTTCCAAATAAATTATGTCAGGAATAATTAAGCCCCTATATCTGAATAATCTCATTTTTATGTTCTGATGCAATATTAAGAAACAGGAAAAAGTGCTGTCAAGAAGTTACCATCTGGTAAGTGTTTGCGATGTGCCATGGCCTCTATTAGCCCTCAGCAGGACTGAAGTAGTTTGCCATGGGAAGACTTCTGAGATTAAAGAGAGGAACAAGCTTATGAGCGAGGGACATAGTGGAAGCTTATAGGGTTTGAGAATTTGGGAAGAGCCAACAGCCTAAAGCTGAAAATCAAAATGGGGCATAACTTAGGCAATCTTGCGTAAGGATGCCCTAAGGAACCAAGAAGATTCTACATGTATGGAACCAATGACTGTCAGAGGGGATGTGCATACCATAATCTATGCTAGTTTATGCCAAAATTCCACTCTAGCAAAATATAAACAGTCATTGAAATCTGTCTCTACTCTCTCTTATAGATGAGAAATGGAAACAAATGGAAACGTAGTAGAGGATGGCCCTACCAAGTTGGAATGAAATCACAAAGGATTCTCTTTGAACATGGCAAGAGAGGTCTCATTTTTTTTTTTTTTTGGAAACTTCTGTTTGTCAAAACTTGTGTTCAGTGCTTCATCTATGCTAGTTTATGTAATTCACACAAAACTCTATGAGGTAGGTGATATCATTCTCATTTTACAGAGAAAAGACCTGGATTCCAGAGAAGTCACATATTTTGCCTAGGGGGCACACATCTGGTGGTAGAATTAGGATTTGAACCCAGGTCTGCAAAGGCCAAGTACTTTCTATTATTTCTAGTGGATCTAACAGTGAAATGACCCAGTAGCTTAAGTCCAGTGAATTGTTATACTTCCACCCCAAGGCATAGGACAGAAAAGGTGAAATTCTCTATTTCACTTTCTCTGGAAAGCAATTGAGTTATAACCTGCTAACCTGTAAGTGTTAATATAAAGACCACATTCACCCAACTACATTCAGGATAATTGGAATATGTCTACGTCCAGAGTCAGACAGGCATCTGTAGAGAAAATCTTAGATGTTGCCTCCAGTCTTGCGAAATTCAGAGATACACTGACTCATGTTGACAAAAGTCCAGGTTTCTAGAGCTCATCTGTCCAAATTCAGTCCAAACCAACCCAAGCCAAACTGTGTAAACCAAACCAAAACAAAATAGCTCTTACAAACAGCTGGTGACATTTTTATGCAATGTAGTAGTGCAGAGTATATGGTCAAACAATGAAACAGTTACTGACCGTTTACATACATAGTTGTATTTATGCAGAAGAAAAATATCACACACCAGATACATGTGCTTGTGAATATGTAAGTTCCATATAGTCTTTTTATTTATTACCTGGCATTTTTATCTTTATTATAGATTTTGAAGTCAAAAATGATCTCCTTTTCCTAAAATTATACCACTTCATAATCGATTTCTGCTTTACTCTAAAAGACTTGTTTCAACCTCACAATATTTATTGCCCTTAGCTCTTTTTCTAAATTCCCTATTGAAGTCATGTATTTTTAAAATGCTAACCTAGGGCGCCTGGGTGGCTCAGTTGTTAAGCGTCTGCCTTTGGCTCAGGTCATGATCCCGGGGTCCTGGGATGGAGCCCACATCAGGCTCCCTGCTCAGCAGGAAGCCTGCTTCTCCCTCTCCCACTCCTGCTTGTGTTCCCTCCCTCGCTGGCTCTCTCTGTCAAATAAATAAATAAAATCTAAAAAAAAAAAAAAAGATTAAACTGCTAACCAAGTCCTGCCTTGTTATTGGTATATCCACTGAATATTTTCACTTTTTTTAAATTTTATTTTATTATGTTAATGTTAATTACCATACGTTACATCATTAGTTTTAGATGTAGTGTTCCATGATTCATTGTTTGTGTATAACACCCAGTGCTCCATTCAGTACGTGCCCTCTTTAATACCCATCACCAGGATAACCCATCCCCCCCCCCCCTCCCCTCTAGAACCCTTAGTTTGTTTCTCAGGGTCCATAGTGTCTCATGGTTCGTCTCCCCCTCTGATTCCCCCCCCCGCCACTTTTCCCTTTCTACTATCTTTTTTTTTTTTGAACATATAATGTATTATTGTGTCAGAGGTACAGATCTGTGATTCATCAGTCTTAGACAATTCACAGTGCTCACCATAGCACATACCTTCCCCAGTGTCTATCACCCAGCCACCCCATCCTTCCCATCCCGCACCACTCCAGCAACCCTCAGTTTGTTTCCTGAGATTAAGAATTCCTATCAGTGAGATCATATGATACATGTCTTTCTCTGATTGACTTATTTCGCTTAGCATAATACCCTCTAGTTCCATCCACGTTGTTGCAAATGGCAAGATTTCGTTTTTTGATGGCTGCATAATATTCCATTGTGTGTGTGTGTGTGTGTGTGTATACACACACACCACATCTTTATCCATTCATCTATTGATGGACATCTTGGCTCTTTCCATAGTTTGGCTATTGTGGACATTGCTGCTACAAACATTGGGTGCTCGTACCCCTTCAGATCACTACATTTGTATCTTTGGGGTAAATACCCAGTAATGCAATTGCTGGGTCATACGGTAGCTCTATTTTCAACTTTTTGAGGAACCTCCATACTGTTTTCCAGAGTGGCCGCACCAGCTTGCATTACCACCAACAGTGTATGAAGGTTCCCCTTTCTCCGCATCCCCACCAACATCTGTCGTTTCCTGACTTGTTAATTGTAGCCATTCTGACTGGTGTAAGGTGGTATCTCATTGAGGTTTTGATTTGGATTTCCCTGATGCCGAGTGATGTTCAGCACTTTTTCATGTGTAGGAAATTTGAATTGACTTAAGAGTTGGTTAGTTTTCTGAAAGCAACAAAATCTAATAAAAGCTTGATTAGGACAATTTAGGTCACTCTTCTATTACTGAAAGGTAATCACTTTTAATAGACTTACTGTAGTAAAACAGCTGAGAAAGCCTCTCTTCCTGCCTGAAGACCATAACAGCTGACTTCCTTAAAATGTGATCATCACACCTGAAACTATCTATTTTAGTCATAATTGAAATGTGTGACAGGAAAGAATTTAGAAGAGGGAAAAAGCGCGTGTTATTATTAAGCTTCTCTGTGTTGAAACCTCAAGATTCTACTTAGTATCCAGCATGTTGAGGAAGATTATAACCTCCCCTCATTTTTTTTGCCACTCCCTTCCCTTCTGCTGGTTCTACTGCCCACTCTCAACAATGAAATACAAATGACTATTCATTTACTCATTCATGCATTTGTTCATTCAAGAAGTGTTTATTGAGTGCCTTCTTTGAACCAGGCTAAGTACAATATGCCTTGGATACACAGTTAATAAAAAGGACATGGTCCATCTCTTCATGGAATTTCTAGTTTTCTAAGAGAAGCAGATAATAAATGAGAAAATTAGTATTGGAGGGGGTCATTATGAGGATGTGACCACAGGTTGACCCACAAGCTGGACTTGGGCAATTGGAAGCTCCTCACCCCATCCCCTGTCCTTGGAATGTATATTCTACCCACCATTCCTACAGTGGAAACCATTTTCAAGGATATAGTCTTGAGAGAGCAATGTGTTGTTGAGACCATCTGGGCAGTGTACATGACTGAACCTACTTAAGTCCTCGTATAAACTTTGAAGATTATGGCAGTTGGGTGCAGAGATCTACTGGTCTTGTGAATGCCCAAGACAAACCTTGTATGTAAATTCTCTTGCTTATTAAAAGTGCCACCTACCTAATCTGGAGGGGTCTGCTTCTTTCTTCAGTGTCTCCTTGCCCTTTATATGTAGGGGCCAGTTTCACATTTCACCAGGGAAGCTCCTGAGGTTTTGAACCAAAAAGTATTGCAAGTAAATATGCTAAGTCTGTATTTTTTATGAATAATAAATATAAGAGGTTATTTTAAAAATTGACTTTATTGGTGCATAGTTAATATGCAATAAAATGCATCCATTTTAATTGTATGGGTTTGATGAGTTTTGATAATGGCTAGTCTAATCAAGATATAGAGTATTTTCATAATCCCAGAAAGTTCTCTTGAACTCTCTATAGTTAATACTTGCCTCCTCAATCTCAAGCACCCCAAGCAACTGCTGCCTTGCCTTCTGTTAGTTGATATTAGTTTTGCCTGTTATAGAATTTCATATAAATGAAAACCTATATACTATTCCTTTGTGTCTGGCTTCTTTCACTCAGAATATTTTTGAGATTTATCCATGTTGTTGCATGGTTCAGTAATTTGTTCCTTTGTGTTGTGGAATAATAAACTGGTTTAGGTATATACTATAATTTATTTATCTAATTGTTAATTAACATTTCAATTATTTTCAGTTTCCAAAGCTGCTATGACCATTTGTATACAAGTCTTTGTGTGGGTCTATGTTTTCTTTTCTCTTAATATGTGAAAGTGGAATTGCTGAGCCAAATGGTAGGAGTATGTTTCATTTTAGAAGAAACTGACAAACTGTCTTCCAAAGTGACTATACCATTCTGTCCTCCCACCAGCAATATGTAAGAGTTGGCTCTGTTGTTTCACGTCATTGTCAGCACTTGGTGATGCCATCTTTTTAATTTTAGCCATTCTAGTAAGTGTGGAGTATCCTGTTAGGTTTTAATTTAAATTTTCTGTTGACAAATGATGTGAAGAACATTGCTTGTGCTTGTTGGCCACTTACATCTTTTGTGAAGGGAATGTGTAAACCTTTTGACCACTTTTAATTAGTTGTTTGCTTCCTTGTTATTGAATTGTAAGAAGTTCTTTAAACAATTTGGATATAAATCATTTGTCACATGCATGTATTGCAAGTATTCCCGCTGCCCCAAGTCATTAGCTGTATTTTTATTTATGTAATGGTAATTCTTTTATGAGAAAAACATTTACTTTTGATGAAGTCCAATTGATGACTTTTGTTTTTTTAAGATTCATGCTTTTTTTGTGTCCTATCTGAAAAACAGTTGCCTAGTACAAGGTTGCAAAGATTTTCTCCTATCTTCTCTTCAAGAAGTTTCATAACTTTAGCTTTTACATTTAGATTTATGATCCATTTTGAATAAATTTTTGTGTGTAGTGTGAGGTAAAGGTCAAGGATAATTTTTTTTGCCATATGGATATCCAGTTGTCCATTCTAGAATAATTTGTTGAAAATACTAACTTTTCCTCATTGAGTTACTTTCACATCTTTGTTGAAAATTAACAGAGCATTTAAAAGTGGGTTTCTTTGGGCCTATTTTGTTCCATTAAATGATTTGTTTATTCTTATGCCAATACCACATTGTCTTGATCACTGTAGTTTTATAGGAGTCTTAAACTCAGATAGTTTCTCCAACTTCCTTCTTTTAAAAGAAAATTCTCCAGGTTTTTTCTTTTAAAAAAATATTTTGGCTATTTCAGGTCCTTTATATTCTATAAAATTTTACAATAAGTTATTCAATTTCTATTCTTAAAAAAGACTTCTAGGATTTTGATTAGAAATGCATTTAATTTATAGGTCAATTTGGGGAGAATTGACTTTAAAAATATTGAGTTTTCCAATTTATAAACATAGTAAATCTTCTTTCACTTTTCTCTACAATGTTTGTAGTTTTTAATGTACACACCTTGCATATATTTTGTTTTTCAAGATATTGTAATTGGTATTGCATATATCCCACAACTTTGTTAACAGGTTATTTTAATATTTATCAGACACCAAATAGTTTGCAGGTTTACAGTATCATGGTACATTTGAATATCATATATGAGTCTGGGTGCTTTATGGTTATTTAATAAGCCTACCATCTCAAAGGTGCAGAAATTAAACACATTTCCACTGTTGACATTATACAGATGGAATAAAATTAATTATGTTTTATGATATTTCATTTACTTGTTTGGGCTGGTTATTTCAACATTTTTTCTATAAATTTTTTTGAAGATTTTATTTATTTATTTGACAGAGAGAGAGACAGCGAGAGAGGGAACACAAGCAGGGGGAGTGGGAGAGGGAGAAGCAGGCCTCCCGCTGAGCAGGGAGCCTGATGTGATACAGGGCTCGATCCCAGGACTCTGGGATCATGACCTGAGCTGAAGGCAGACACCTAACGACTGAGCCACCCAGGCACCCTAATTTTTTGACAGTGAATCCCACTCTATTAGTAAAACCTTTTGAACACATCCTTACATATATATATATATTGGAAAACATTTATACATTATATATACAAAATTCTATACTGATTTATTATATAAATGACATAAGACAGACATTTTAAAAGGTCAAAATAAAGAGTATACCATATTTTTAAATGTATTATTAGTAGTGATGGCTTTATATTATCATTGGCTGATTTCTTAAAACATGAAATACATGTAGAATAATTTTCTTTGTTAACTGTGGATTGAAATGCATTGCTTAGTCTTGATCAGTTAAATTTTTTTGGCTGACTTTATGTCAGGTTGGGTTAGGGTGTCCTCATCTTTAATCTTGTATTTTAAACAATGATGAACAGCTGTTCTAGGAGTAGAAGGTGTGTCTTTTCTGCTATTTTTTTTTTTTTTAAGATTTATTTATTTGAGAGAGAGACAGAGAGAGAGTGTGGGAGGGAGGAGCAGAGGGAGAGGGAGAAACAGTCTTAGGCAAACTCCATGCTGAGCATGGAGCCCAACACCAGGCCTGATCTCACCACCCAGAGATCACGACCTGAGCTGAAACCAAGGGTCAGACACTTAACGGACTGCACCACCCAGGTGCCCCTCTGCTATTCTTTTTGTAGTTTGCTTGTGCTTGTGTAAGTAGCAACAGTCTCAATTTATAATTTATTTGCTGGAATCTTTTTAAGCCAATTGTCCATTTTGTAAAGTTAGGCTTAGCTAAATCTAAATAATTTAATCTGCCAATACAGTAAACCTACTTAAAGTACAACAAGCTGGAAGTCAACAAGTGAATGAAGGACTATGCTGCAGAATTCCCTCCCATCCTTTCATAGGATCCCTTGCTTATGAACTTTACATTAGGTTACCTGACAAACACAGCAAGTGATAATACCAGTTCAGGTGTATATTACTAATTAGTTAACCTTAACTTCTTAATTATTTCAATTAAAGTAAGCATTAGTATAAATTGTAATTTTTTCCCTATTCGTCAGTGGATCACCCTGGCATCCTCTGGTGTAAGCATCTCCCTCCTTTTGGGAGAACAGTGGTTTAAGCTGTGTTGCTACCAAGTACACGTCACTGCATGTGATTTCTCTGTCAGCCAACATGTTTCACACAAGAATTAAATAAAAAATAAAAATAAAATAAAATAACATCCTCTGTTCTACAGCAATCTGTCTTAGCCAACTGAATCATGCTATATCCTATTGGTCATAAAATAAGAATGAATTTGGATGCTCTTTGCAATCCTACAAGTTTGGGAATAACAATGTAAAACATGTATGTTTCTGAGGTCACATAAAACTTCAGTGCTTTCTGATTCTACAAATTATTTTACTGGGAAACTTTGGTAAAGCACAAACTTATTTAAATGTATCCAGTTATATCCTAAGTATTTTGTGTTTTGTGTGTATAAATGTATATATATCCACATCCTCCTGTCCCATTCTACCTTTATGGTGTTCTATACAATTTTTGTGGTAGAAAATTCAGAACAATTACAGGGCGTGGTTCCTGGTTTCAGTGTCCTTCCCATCTTCATGGCAAGCTGAGAGGTTTATGAGTGAGGTAACTATAGAACAACAAAGGACAGTATATAAGTAGTGTCCAAACAGCTTCTCATTCCTGCATCAAAACTAAACACAAAACCCTCCTAAGTACGATGAGAGAGGAGTTTAGGATGAAAATATCCTGGTGAGAAGCACAAGGGCCCATCCTTGTGCTTCTCCATACATCCCTCCAATGTATGTCTCTGCCCATACATTGGAGGATTGGGTTTTGTTTTAATTCAGACTAATATTCCATGAGTGTGACAACACAGAACAGGAGTACTATGTGAGATCAGGGAAGGGAGAGATGAGTATGGATGGTAACCAACCATGGAATTAGGAGAGGAGAGATGCTAAACAATGCTAATTCTCCTCATGCTCTACCATTCTTATTTTAACTGGATCTTTTTTGACGCTGAGCAATCTTCTGATTAATTGTTGATTCTCTTGAATAGGGATTGGCAAGCTATGGCCCACAGGCCAAATACAGCATGCCACATGTTTTTTATAGGTTCCAAGAGCTAAGAAAAATAATAATTCATGTTTGCAATAATAATTCATGTTTGCAAAAATAATGTGAAATTGAAATTTCAGCTTCCACAAATAAAGTTTTATTGGAACACAGTCACAGTCATATCGTCTATAGCCACTTTCACTGCAGAACTGAGTAGTTGTAACAGAGACTTTGTGGTACACCAATCCTAAAATATTTACAGTTTGGGGCTCTACATATACAGTTAGCCATCCATATTTTAGATAGTTGCCTGACCTTTCTGGCTTAAACAAATGTTATTTTCTTGGAGGAGACAGGAAGAGAACTAATATTTATAGGATCTTCATTTGCTAAGTAAGGTCACCCATTTACTAACAACCCAGGTAGGTAGACATTAACACTCCATTTCAGAGATTAAGGAACTGAGGTTCAGAGAATCTAAACAGTTTAAAAGATTGTGTAGACTATATGTTAACTAACTAGAATTTACATAAAGATTTGGAAGAAAAAAAAAGGAAAAGAAAAATGAAAGAAAAGCACTTTGTAAACTGCAAAAAAAAAAAAAAAAAGATTCTGTAGGTAGTTGATTTTGGAGCCAGGCCTCAAATAAATGCTTTACTGTATCATGTTACTATGTCATTACTCCTCTTTGCCTAAGAAAGTAGATTTGTTACGCCAATTCAAAAGCAAAGAGGAAAAGAATTGCAGGCTTGTGGGGAGTTAGCCATTCAATGAGTAATTGGTCACCAGTGTTGGAACCTGGTATACCAACGAATATCTCAGAAAGACTGACTCTGAGCCTATGGCAGGAAGGTAGCCTTGGGTACTTTTCAATGGTAAGTGGATACTTTCCCAATAGACTCTTTCTCCTAAGGATAAAAACTCTTATCAGTAAGACCAAAATAATTTATAAGAAAGTATCTTTCTATACTATTTGAATAAATCTTTATTACATGAAAGAATATGAACCTTAAGCTGTATTCAACAAATCTTCCTGATTTTCCAATGAGTGATTAAAGTAGCTCAGTTTAAGTCACTCTCTGTTTTCTTTTTTAATACCTGCTGATAGTATAGCAGCAGCTGCAGTAGTAGGAATCTATTGAAACAAATTATATTTCTCATCGATTGATCTCCAAAGGCAGGCTTCCTAGTTTTAGAAAATTCACTGAAAATTTTATAGTGCTTTAAATGAAGGGAGATAAAACACAAAGAATGGGATTATATCTTTACGTGGTGGCTGAACCAAACTGCAATATAGCTTAAATATTAATTTTAACTCTCTCTGATTGATCCAAATCATCACAGCCAAATAGATAATCAGGCAAATGAACTAATACTTAAGTTACTAAAAATAAATGTTGGCCATATTGTAACCTATTCTTTTTTTGCAAGTTGCTATGATCCAAGTTTCATTTGGAAGAAATAAAATGTCTCTCTGTATTGCTGTCAATAGATTCCTTAACCCTACCATTATTTTTCTCAAATTGTTTTTAGGTCAACTTTCTCTCACTATATTGCTTTTCCTACCCAGAAAAAAAAATGTGCACGTGCTTATTATCTTCTGTTTATTTGCTTTATTCCTGTTCTGTTCCCATGCCTCCCTACAGGCAACCCAAAGTGCCCCACCCCCCATGCCATTGTATCGTGCCTTGGGAAGCTAACTGTGATGGAAGTTGCCACATTGACAGGACTGTGGTGCATCTAGAAATCAGGACAAAAGCCATGATTCCAGGCACACTAAGAGGAAGTTGCTCAAGATCAGATGGTAACAGATGGCAGAGTGGACACTAAAGATGGAAGGTTTAAGGATGGAGGGTTATTTATTGTATAGGGTCACCAAAGAGAAGCTGTGACAAAGATAGGTCTTCTCTTCCATTTAGTAATATCTAAAGAAGACAAATGGAAACAACAAACAACACAATGAAAAGCCAACACTAAGTGAACATATTGATAATTGTGCTCTTTTAACACAGTAAAATTTCCTACATCCATTAAAATGGTAATTATAAGTCCATGCTCAATAGATGATCAAACTGAATTGGACAACATATCTGGGATGGTGTAAGTAAAAATAGCAGATTTCAAAGTAGAGTTCTTGGATTACAAGAATGCTACTAAGCTGGATAATTTAGCCAGACAAAGAGGGAGAGAGAAAGAGAGAAGCAGGGGGTTGGGGAGGATTGAGAGAGAGAGAGAGAGAGACAGAAAAGATAAGAAAAGATAAAAATAAGGTTTCAAAAGACAGGAGAAAGGACAGTTCCAGTGATCTGGAAATCAGAAACTAACATTCAGTGCTGGGGAGAGCAGACAACAAATACTTTGAACAAAGAGGCCATGAATGAATGAATATATTCTACTTTTATGAAGGTTGGGAGGTATACCTAGAGAACTTCATTACGCTATAACTAGTCTTTTTTTTTTTTTTAAATACCATTTGCAGGGAGCTTTCTCATCATCATTTTACTAGTTGGGAAGATATATGAATAATATATTTTAAATTACTAAAAAAATGTTACCTCAGATATAAACTGCCACATAGCGTGCTTGTCGAGAGACGAAATGATTGATTAGAGTCCAATAAGTTGGAACAAAGGCCCAAAGGGGCTGCATGGCCAGGCACTGGCAAGAAGTGCGGGCGCTGAGGTGAAGCCCTGAGTCTGTCTGGGTGGATTCTTGGTTTTATTCTCGTATAGTAGAATGTAAAGTATGTGGAACGCAAGGAGGGAAAAACAACCCAAGAAAGTAATCACATGAGGGACTGCAGGAAACTGTATACGTGCCTATTAGCGCAGATCCTAGTGAGGCATATCCAAGGGGCTTCAGGGGATGGGAGAATTGAGGTCAGTAGGCCTATCTTATCCACCATCGTTGCTGTTTGCAGCATGTACCGATGGCGGGAATGCCACAGGCATAAAGCTGTTGCCATTTGCGTGTGTTCCTCTTCTTACTGTCTACAGTCTTTTACCCACTGAAGTCCTGCTCTCTCTCCCACAATAAACACCATTCTTCACATCTTACCTTCATAAACCTGGAAGTTGAAAAGTGATCTTTGAGTCTTATCAGATTCAGTGATTGCAGTTTTTCAATGAAAAACAAAATGGCACCAGTAGAAATGGAAAGTCACAGCTACTTAAAAAGTAAAACACAAGGATTCCAAAGACTAAAACGTTTTCTTCTCTTATTTTTTACATGTATAAAGTTGCTGTCAAGCCTGTTAAAATTTACAAAGTTTCAACTTTGTTTTTGGACTTTACCATGCTTTTGTAATTTTATAGAACTATGCAATGTGACAATTGAAAATAAAAATATATACTTGAGGCATAGAATGTTTTAGGGGTATTAGCACTCTTTGAATAGAAATTAAAGTGTGGGGGTGCCTGGGTGGCTCAGTTGTTAAGTGTCTGCCTTCGGCTCAGGTCATGATCCCAGGGTCCTGGGATCGGGCCCCGCGT